GACAAAACATTTATTATAACAATATGTTTATACCCTCTTGATAAAGCTGTTTGAACATTCTATGATGTTAAACTCAAATTTGCAGGTCACAAAATCCTGTAGTGGACAAATAAAGAGGTATAACTGTAATTCACGTTTTACCTGAGGGACATAGCTATTATTCCCTTTATTCATTCTCTAATATTGAGCAGTCTTTAACTAAGACCAGATAATAGCAATTCTGTTTTAGCCACTAGTACTCCTGTAGCGAACTGATTATATAAAGAAGCCACGTGTTCTGGTTTCAGACTATTGATTTGGTCCTTAATGCCCCCCAGAATACCGTTACTCCGCGGCCTGTGAAGACTTTCTTTACTTTTTATTAATAAGGTAAACTCCACTAGAGCTCAAATTCTCTGCTCCTGCAAATGACCCCCTCAGTGCCTGCACTGTGCTCTGCTGTCTTTAATCAGTTTGAGCCTGTAGCACTGTCTTTTGTACAAGAGATTGTCTCCAAGTTAAAGCCCTCTGGGTTCTCCTGTCGCGAATAGGGTTTTCCCCACTGTTGGACCATCTGTGCTGGCATGTTACAAACAGCAGTCTGGCTCTCAGGGAAGGTCCCTGAAAACCTGAAGCATGCAGTAGTGCAAACCTCAGTATTCAAAAACGCAGTCTGGATCCCACAGTTCTGGCTAATTTTAGGCCCATTTCCAAAATGCCTTTTATGTCAAAAATCCTGGAGAGAAGATTGTCCTACAGTCAAATTATGTTTTTTCTCTGGAAGAGAACAATATACTGGAGGTTTTCCAATCCGGGTTTTAAAAACTATGCACAGCAGTGAAACAGCGCTTTTAAAGAGTTTTTTAATGACATCCTTTTATCTACTGACTCTGGGGACTTGCGTTGTGCTTCTACTTTATTGATTTACTGCTGCTTTCGATACAGTCGACCATGACATCCTGATCTCTCGCTTGGAGAAGTGGGTGGGCATTGAGGGGAAAGCCCCTGGAATGGTTCAGGTCATATCTGAAGGACAGAACTTTCTCTGTCAGCCTTGGTGACTCCGAGTCATCCCTCTGCTCCACTCCTGTATGGGGTCCAACAGGGCTCAGTATTAGGCCCCCTGCTATTCTCCCTCCATTTGCTCCCTCTTGGGTCCATATTTAAGAAAAGCAACGGCAATCGCATTCCACTGCTATGGAACAATTTCCCAATTTGGGATCAATAAAGTACTATCTTATCTTATCTTATCTTATGCTGATGATAGCCAGATTTATGTCCCACTAACAAAGAAGGAGGGTTACTCAATTAGCCCACAGCTAAAGTGTCTAGAGGACATAGAAGGGCCTGGATTGCGTGCAACTTCCTAAAACTGAATGAAAAGAAAAAACTGAAGTAATGGTGTTTTTGGTAGCACCACTGGCATCACTTCCGTAGACCTGGGTTCCCTGGCTCAGTACATCAAGCCCACCATTACGAACCTTGGCATTGAAACGGACCATGAACTAAAACTTGAGTCAGATTAAATCTGTGGTAAAAACAAGCTTTTATCACCTGAGGCAGCTAGCCAAAGTAAAACCTTTTCTCTCCAGACAGCAGTTTGAGACAGTAATCCATGCCTTTGTCCACGCACTCGGCTGGATTACTGTAACTCTCTCTACATGGGGGTCAGTGGTGGTCCTCCCATCGCTCGTCTGCAGCGGGTGCAAAATGCCGCGAGCAGGCTTTTAACTGGCAACACGGAATATATGACCACATTCCCCCATTTTGGGCTTCGCTCCACTGGCTGCCAATACATTTTAGGATTCATTTCAAAATCCTTTTGTTTACTTTTAAATAGGGATGTCCCGATCACCTTTTTTTGCTCCCGATCCGATTCCGATCATTTGATTTTGAAAATCTGCCGATACCAATTTTTCCCGATCTGATCTTTATGCAATGCATTAAGAGAAAAAAAAGGTAACATATAACGGCTGGTCATCCAACGCGATGAATTCAGCTATCTTGGCTGTTATTTTTTGGCCTTTTCACTGTTCTGGGGGCAGTTTCTCTTTCCTTTTAAAAGGTCTCTGAAAGTGTCGGGTTGTTTCAGTGCCGTTACCTGAGTGGCCGCTGTGTACTCGTCGTGTTGTGTTGGTGTTTGTATTAGATTGGGTCGTGTTGAACGTAGCTCTGTTCTTTCCACCACGCGGAACCTCCGCCTTGCAAACATTGCATCTGGCTGTTGTGTATTTTAAAAACCAAAACTAAGGCCTCAGGATGACTTTAAGACGTGAACATGGTCATTTTTGTTTTGTAACATTAAATAAAATAAAAATATTTTATAAAAAAAAGAAAAATTCCCGATCCCCCGATTTTTTTCTCCCGATTCCGATCTTTTGAAAATCACGTGATCGGCTCCGATCCCCGATCACGTGATCGGATCGGGACATCTCTACTTTTAAATTCCTAAATGGCATGACCCCACCATATCTTTCTGAGCAGCTACACCCTTACACACGCCCAACCGCCCTCTCAGGTCAGCGGATCAACTGCTCCTGAATGTGCCCAGAACCAAGTCAAAGCTCAGAGGGGGCCGTTGCTTCTCTGTAGCGGCTCCCACACTGTGGAACGATCTACCCCTGCACATCAGACAGGCCGCCACACTGCCTGCTTTAGAATCGCTTCTTAAAACCCACCTCTTCTCCTTAGCGTATTAACATCTTTTAGAGCGTTGAATTTTATTGCTTTTAAATTGTCTATTGTTTTTACTTGTACTTGTTTTATGGTGTGTGAGCTGTGTTACTTTTTGTATGTTTTGTTTTGTTTATTTGCCTGTACAGCACTTTGGTCTGGAAGTTTAAAGTGCTATATAAATAAAGCTGTATTGTATTGTATTGTATTGTATAATGATTAATACGCTACAGAGCACTTCATTAATGGCCGAAGTGGCTTTAAAGCTTTAAGCTGCCCTCCCAACCTAATTTAAAAATACAGCATTCATTTACAGTCTTACATACAGTATGCCTGATCAGGATGTATCTGTATTTATTTTTTAATGAACCTGTATTGTACATTGTAGTACTTCAGGAAAAGTAATTGATGTTCAGTGTGTGTTTCCGTAAAAGTACTTATTCTTTTTGTATCATTTCTTTTTGGGAAAAAGGGCTAAACAAGCAATATTACTGTCCATTATTAGAGTTTGCATTATCTTAAGAAGGTGATCATGGTCGTAAAAAAAACTTTTATAAACATGAAACTTACCACTAAGCTACGTCACAATAAAAGCCACTCAAAAGCAGGAACCGTGAATGAAAAACACAACCTTATTATTAGCCCACAAGAACCCACTTTAAATATTAAATATAAAACCTCATTGACGTCTTTTCACAGCTGTCATTCATCCTCGGGAAATGTGTCATAAAAAAACAACCCCTATACACTAAATTCTCAAGTACCGGTAATGTTTAAGATGGGCATCATGATTTAAAGACAAAGCCTGATGACTTTGACCTGAGAGGCCACAAGGAAAGGAACAATTAGCTTTGAATGATTTGACTTGAAAACACAGTCAAGCAATCACTTTGACATCTTAATGCAGGGGGAGGCAACAGCGTGGCTTCCCAGATATTCAGAAATTGCCAGGAGCAATCTTATTAATTAAACGTGGAGATAAGAGATATAATTTCACAATTACAGTACCATGACATTAGTGACTGTTCAAAATGTTTGGTTCTTTTTGTTCAGCCAAGATGTGAACAGTTAAATGCATCAATCCAATTTTATGAAAAAGTAGAGAGTTCTTATTCATTAAGTTATTCAAAGCAATAGTGAGTGGCTATTATTAATATGAAACTATTTGTAGTAAGTCAATGAAAGAATGTATATACAGCAATGCTTAAACATGTGTCTAATATTTATTTGTGAATAACCTTCATTACCAAAGGAGGGAGCTCTGATACTTGATTGCTAAACCTTTGCCATAAAAATCGCTTTTAAATGTGCTTTATAAATAAAACCTGATTTGATTTGATAACCAAATAATATTATTCTTATTAATATTCATCCTCTACTCCACATTTACACCTGGAAGAGCAGAGGGGAAATTACAGGGCAGAAAACAACATAGCTTTTTGGTTTACGTAGGATAATGTTATTGGTGTTATGACAGTCACACATCCCACCTGCTGCTCAGCAGCTTACAGGCATGAATACATCACAACAATTGGCTCCAAAAAGGAGAAGGAAAAAACAATACTTTGTTTAAATGAAACAATGAGTGCAATAAAACCTGTGGTCCCTAAATGGAAATGCTGAGACTCACACTGAAGCTTATACTATTGGCTTTGACTGTGTGAATCCAAAGAGAAAGACAGAGCGCCACGCTGACAAGACAGATAGATAAGATAGACTAATGTGATGGCCAGATAGATGGCCTGTGTCCGCTTTCTGGAAAAAATACCAGAATTCTTGTTTGTGTGGGCTGGTAGAAAATTACCCTGGAACATTACATTGCACCATGTTTGCTATATAGTAATTACATTAAACATACATTATGTTGGTTGTAATGTTGTGCTGTGTAGTTATTACATTAAAAAATATGATTGCAGGATTCACGTTTGCTGGGTTGCAATGACAACAAAAAATACATTATCAGGAAAATGTGCAATATAAGTAAATAAAACAATTATATTTGAATCTTTAAGCTTGATTTGACACTGGGACTCTTTCAAAAACAGGGTCCCTGGATCAGGGGATAAAGCAGGAAGCAAATGCAGGTCATCATTGTGTCAGATGTGTGCTTTATTCTCCATATTACTTCAGAATATGACAATTCATGAAATTGCCAAACAGTGAACCTAGGGCTTTTAGGGCCTTGTGTGCAGTGAATTGCTCTGGTCAGTTAATCCAGTTGGTATTGGTGTGCAAAGTAGTCCAACACTCACTTCCATGTCCCCCCTGACACAGGTACCACGTTGTTACAGGTGCATGTAATAAACGATTCATTCTAATAGTATGTGAGGTGGTGTAACTTTACTCACCTGCAGCCTTGCATTGTGGAGCATAAATTCTTGCTGCTTTTTAAAGTTTGCATCCATGGATTTAGACAGTAGAAACCCCATGGTGGCGCTGTAACTGCTGGCCTAAAAACACAGATTACGTTACCAAACTAACAGGCACAACTAATATTAGAGGTACAAACACACGTTAAAACGGCATTTACTTTAACATGTTACTTGATGTCACCGTCATGGTTTCACTTTCCTGTAGCTTAACTTAGAGCTGTCAGCCTAACTTAGTTAACGTTAGCTCACTCGTCCTTCATTTCACCGTTTCTGTCGAATAACTTCATGCTAATAACGTATACGTGTTGCTAATTCTAGGTGCTAGCATTGCTTAAAGTTAGCAGACGACTTGACGTTTGTTTCTGTGATGTTTGGGCTCTCTTGTTAATTAATTTGGCAAACGTCATGGGCTAATATTAAAACATAAAGTAGCTCCCCACGCTTCACCCGATATGATTAACCTTGAGTGTTAACGCTATCTAGGTTGACAAAACATTTGAGTTTTACATACCTAATGTACTTTGAAGACAGTAATGACACTTTCGTGACGAGAAATTCAATGTCTCTATGAAAACAAAACGTGTGGCGCACGAAATCAGAAACTGCTAACTTCCGGTCTACCTGTAACCTAAAGTAAGATCAGTGACAACAATAAACCATGCAATAAACAAACATGGTACTTCCGGTTAAACTTCCAAAATAAAACTAAAAGCAAAACAGCACGTTCTACGGTTCTACCATAAACAAGGATGATGCTTTCCAAATGACAAAACATTATGATAACAGTACACCCTCACATTTTTTTACACACTGCTTATTTGTGTTTAATAGGTTTAGTGCTTGTCCAAGGCACTTTACAGTCCGTGGTTGAAGGCTAGTTTCACATAAACAATTAAATGGCGCCCTCTCTTGGTGTTTGTGGCATAGACTGTATATATAAAGGTTTGTGGGTGTACATATTGTCTAAATGTAGATGTTTTTTGTTACAGTCGTTGCACCAAACCTTTATAAATACAGTTTATGCACCAAACACAAGTTGAGTGGATACTTTGGACTTTGCACAACCAGGGCCATATTAAGTGGGAGGATACTACAATAACTATGTGGGAGAGTTAGCATCCCAAGCTGCTTTTTGTTTAAAAAGTAAAAGTGAAAATCTTCATTCTGCACTGAACCATATCAAACCAAGCTATATTTTTTCATTAATGCATTACAAAAAGCATGGGGGACTCCTGCCCAACTTCCACCTTGCTGGACAAATAACACCTGATATTGCACTATTAACTCAACACAAATAATTGTTTTACTTTTTGCCTTTTGTGACTGTCCCTTTGCTGTAACATTGTAAATGTCCCTGCTGTGGGACGAATAAAGGACTACTGGTTCTGATTCTGATTACTGTGTCCATCAACTATTTTCCCCTTTTCTACTGTTGATTTAGGTCAGAGTTGCATATGTATTAAAATCGTTGAGCCATACTTCAACAAGTAACTTAAAGGTAACAATAATGATCAACCAATGAAGCAAACTAATGCACAATGTATTCAACTTCACCTCTATTTGACTTTTTCTCTCAGTATTTTTTACATCCTGGTTACACCCTAACAGTAGGCTACCATACATTAGTGTCATACCAAATGCTGTAGCAATGTTTTTACCTCATTAGACATTAACCAATTGGATATCACATGGGGAATAAAACCTATTTACACAAGATCTGTATCACAAACCCTTCCTGCAAGGACAATGCAGTGGTATTGTATATGAGTGATCTGGGTAGTAAACTCCAAAACTATTTAGGATTTTCCAAGGGGTTGCCTAGTCATGAGGGACAGGAAACATTTCGATGTAACAAAAAAAACTGTATACAAAACTTTTTTTCCATCTTTCCAAAAGACCTTTGTGAAAGCCTGTGTGAAAGTAATACTCGTGGTGTTATATCCTCAGAGATGGAAAGAAACAAACACCAACCTCAAGTTCTTTGTCGAATTAAGCGGTGATTTTACTTTACTTAATTATCTAAATGTTCTGCTACTTTACACTTCTACTTTGTCACATTTCAGAGGGAAATATTTTACGTGTATTCCTAATTACATCCATTTAACAGCCATTGTTATTTATTTATAGTAATATGGGGAATTCTTTGTAGTAAAAATTCCCAGCAGGCTTTAAAGTAAATACAATTTGCTTCATATTTTCATTAAGTAGCCTAATAACATTTTCAACAATGTAATTTAGATTCCGATTCTGCTGCATAATGAGTATTTTTACTTTTGGGGCTTTAAGTATTATAATACATTCAAATAAATCAATGTACCTGGATACTGTGTACAGACAAGTATTTTCCAATAAATATTTTACGGCTGAGGGTTACTTACTGTATGTCCCCATTTTATGACTTTTGAGGTAAAGCCAGTGTAAGATAAGATTGTTCTTACTGTCTACTTCCGTGTTCATTGGTAGGCTACTACTTGTTTCCTAGTCGCGGTCCATATTATTTGAATGTAAAAGGTTTTATGATGTGTTTTACAGCCTATTCACAACAGCCGTAAATATTCAATAAGTATATTGAATTTTCGATTGACCCAATGTCGAGCCGCGTGACAGTAAAGTGTGTGTGGGTGTGTTTTCGAGTTGGGATTTCCCTCTTGCCTTGATATGAATAGCAGCATCGGAGCAGACTGCAGAAGAAGGGAGCACTTGATGAAAACACCACCAACATTATCTGATATATGACCAGCAGGTAAGAAAATATCATTGACCTATAACAACAGCTAACAGATGAACAGTAGTTGGGGGTTGCACAACTTCTAATCGTATATTATCATTATTATTTTTATTGTTTTTTATTTTATGTAGTATACTTTTATGGCTGATGTTTATGCATTCACTTTCCTTATTTCCAATATTATATATTTTTGTATTGGACATGTATCACCTTTATGTCTAGCTTTGTAGCTTGAATACCAATACAGTTATATGAACTGTTGCAGGCTAAATATGTTAAGGTCCTAACACCTACTTTTAATTTACTTTATTTAAATGATGCTTTTTGTGAACCAAACGACTGACAAAGCTCAATACTCATTGTCAGCTCTCCCAATTTCAAAGTCATACAAGTTCTGCAGAAATGCTGTTGACATTTTCATTTTACAGGAAATCTGCACAGAAAATCACGTGTGTATGTGTATGAAGCATGACTAGCATTGTTGACTGTGTGTGTGTGTGTGTGTGTGTGTGTGTGTGTGTGTGTGTGTGTGTGTGTGTGTGTGTGTGTGTGTGTGTGTGTGTGTGTGTGTGTGTGTGTGTGTGTGTGTGTCACAGCATCCAACAGCATCTTTCTTGTAGTTTGTTTCCCTGTCATGACTCATCCATCAGGGAAGTTACTGGATTTTCAGTGCTGAGTCATGCTGGTAATAGGAATAAAATGTATGTGACCTACATGTGATGTTGAGTGTGTGTGTGTGTGTGTGTGTGTGTGTGTGTGTGTGTGTGTGTGTGTGTGTGTGTGTGTTAGTGTGTGTGTTAGTGTGTGTGTGTGTGTGTGTGTGTGTGTGTGTGTGTGTGTGTGTGTGTGTGTGTGTGTGTGTGTGTGTGTGTGTGTCAGCATATTAATACTAGATCAATCTAGTTACGGTGGAATTCACATCTTGCCTTCTCCAGTAAAATGACTCAGCTTTATCAGTTAGACAGTTAGCTAACTATTTCAACATCTGTAAACCCCCTTTTGTTTCTTCCTTAGGACTCAATGGATTGGGCCGTTATTGTAGTTTTGAATGTCATGTTTCAACCATCCCTCTCAGGTGTGTAGTAAAAAAGTGTATGAATAAACAAGAGCACACACAGGACCAATTGCATTTACATTAAACATTTCTATTAAGTCAATGTTGTATATTGCTCCAGGGCTGTTTAGCATATTGATGATGTCTGACTTTATTATGTATTATTTCCCTGCAGTGTTGTTCACTGTTGAGGCAGAGCGAACCGTGTATGAGTCAACGTTTGGAGAAGATGTTGTGATGGGCTGCAGGTTTCAGCCTAAACTATCAAACTCTCCTGCTGACCTGAAGGTGACGTGGCACTGGTTCACCTCCACCTTGGTCCGGGACGTGTACCGTATGGATAACTGGGAGGAGAACTCGGCATCCCAGGATCCTGATTACCATGGCCGAGTGATGCTTCTCAATGATGAGCTGTGGGGCGGCTGGTCCAAACTAAAGGTGAATAATGGGAGTCACTTTCCTAGAATTACATAGAATCTGAGTAGGCAAGGTTATTTCCAGTCAAATTTCCACTGAATAATTTACTCCTATCGGGAATTACTGATGTTCAAATTCCCAGGCAGACTATACAATTCCTGCTTATTAAGGTATCATGTATACCTGCCAAGAAGGCACAGATGATACCTTGTATTATAATAAGAAGGTTCATCGGAACCTTTAGTTCATGAGGGAATATGTGTTTTATGGACATAAACAAATCCAAGGTCTGAACTTTCTCATTTTGTCTCTTTTCAGATCTCCAGACTCAGGATCAATGACTCTGGGACATACCAGTGTTTTGTGCAAACAGGAGAAGGAGCTGATTATAAAACCACAACTTTGTCTGTTGTTGGTAAGTCTGACAGTGTTACTTTTTATTGCAAAATCCTAATGGGCTTGTTCTGGGAAGTCATGCTTTTTTTGCAATAGCCTGGGGTCATTTCTGAGCACAGTATATCTCAAAATGAAAATGAAACTAAGCAGAACATTACTCAATTCGGTAAAGAATGATTTTGGCTCAATTTCTTTCGACAAGATATTTCCCTTATCATGTAAGCCTTTATGATCACAATGTTAAGACTATGTTCTTTCTATCTGATTCTTCCCTAGCACCTTATAAATCAGTGACTAAACACATTGAGAAGGCTGCAGGGGGGGATGAGCTGCTGCTTTCTTGCCAGTCTGAGGGATACCCGGAGTCTCCTGTTATGTGGCAGGATGGACACCTGAAGACATTCAATCCGAATACCACTGCTGTGACAACTCCACAGCAGCTTGTCAATGTCACCAGTCAGATACGCGTCAGTTCGTCGGCCAAAAAACAACTACACGTGTATCTTTACAAAAGATGGCTCCTCCGCAACATTTCAAATTCCAGGTACATTTTGGTTTCCTTTCAAAGGCTTTCTTATCACACAGGACTCTATCAATTGGATGGAGATAATATGAAAGCACACAGGGTTTTATAGGTTGACTCTTACAGTATATTGCAACATCTGCAGGTCAAGTCTGGCCAGTGAACTTTCTTCTGTCTTTCCTCCCTTATTTATTTTCAGCTTTTTTGCCACCCAACAATTTTACAAAAGATAAAGAATCAAATGAGAAGCCAGCAAACAGATAATGTGTCCAATTGGTGGATGTAACAGAGTACATTGACTCAAGTCAACCTTTTGAATATTCTCATCTAAAAACAGGAAATATAATATCATCATGTGCCTAC